CAAACTTGCAGTGAGGAAATTGAGGTGCAGGAAAGGGAAGCAGTTTTCCTCCCCAAAACGAATGAACCTGGCTTTAGACTCAGACCTGTCTGGCTCCTAAGCCAGTGCCCCGAACCTCTCTGCACGTTCCACCTTGCAGACACGGGCTGGGGTATCAGACTTAGGGAGAGGACTCCTCTGAGGGCCCACACTGCCCCCAACCCTGGCGCATGCCCCTTGGGCTGGTGGGGTCTGGCTAGGTGGGGTGGTGGCAGATGCCTAGTGTGTGAGGAAAGAATCAGTGTTGACAGGAGCAGGCGCCTCTGCCCCAAGCCAATGGGCATTTCCTGCCCACATCACTAATGGCGGGGCAGGCCTGCGCCACACCTGTCCTCCCTCCGCAAGCTGCCACAGGATGACTCAGGGCGCTCCCCGGGGCTCAGTGAGACAGCAAGTTGAGGGGTGTGAGCAGCTGGTTACAGGCAAGCAGCAGGGCTCTCATGGCCTGAGGAAGGCTGTCCTTGTCCTCTCACCCGAGTCCCCAAGCCCCCTGCCCTTTGGGGACACCTCATAGGTGGCACTGCTTGGTTCCGCCTCTGTTAGTCGGCCTGAGCCCTCACAGCCCAGTCCCTAAGGCCAGGGCCAGCACGGAGGATGCTGGCACCATGGGTGCGGTGGGGCTGCGGAGAGCAGCTCTGCTTCCGCCCGGGTCTCAGGGGCCAGGGCGTCCTGAGCTGCATGCTCCATTCCCTGCTCAGGCTTTGGAGGTTCCCCACAGGGAGTGTTAGGGATGGGGCTCTGAGGGCAGCCTCTGAGCCCTGAGAGGGTAGGAAAGTGAGCCATGTCATCTGGCCGAGAAGAAACTGCTCACTCAGGCCAGGGCTCTGTCAGCTTCCGTCTTCCCTGAGCCCATCTTGCCCAGTCTGGGCCCCTGGGCCAGCCAGACAGCTCACAGAGGGAAAGGATGGTGCCCTGGGGACTGCAGTAAGACCTCAGATTCGGGGTGCGGGGGTTGTCCACCATAGCAAGCTCCTCGTCGTATTGGAAGGAGGGCCAGATGTGGAGAGGACTGACAGATGTGGGGAGCAGGGCATTCATGGGGAGTAGTTGGGCATTCATCCAGAGACCCCTCCAGACAAGGCCTCATGAATACACTGTCTTTATGGCTCTGGCAACTGTCCTTGAAAATGCTTCTCGTGAGAACTGAGGCCAAGGCCCCAGGGTGGGGAGGAGGTCTGGGAGGCAGCCCCCTGTCTCTCCACACCGCTGCTTCCTGAGCCCCAGGGGAAAATGCCTGATGGCAAGAGCAGCAAGTACGGGAGCCAATGTGCCCGGACAGCCCGGATGTAGGAGAAAGGCCTGGGCCTTCTTTGCATTTACAGGAGGGAGGGAGGCTGGCGGTGAGCAAGGTTCCCTCAGTGCAGGTAGAGAATTGGCCAGATAAGTCCAAAGTTCAGATCTGACAGTTGATGTGGAGTACACGAACCGTCAAGTCCTTGCCTCGCTGGCCCCTGGGATACGAGCGTCCTTACCAGCAGCTCAGCCTTCCTGAGCAGCTGTCGTGGACTTCCGGCGCCTGCAGCCTGCTCTCTGGAGCTGAGTGAGGGCAGGCCCAGAGGGTGGAAAGTTGAGAAGGTAATGGGAAGCAGGGATTGGAGAGCTTGGGACCAGGGCTAGAAATGGGCCATCTCTCACAAGAGCCAGCTAGGCAGGCGTGTCCCAGATGGGACTTTCTGGTCAGGCAGGCAGGTCTCAACTGCCCTACACAGTCAGGCCTGCTCTTTAGGGTCCTCTGACATAAATGCATTTGCAAAGAATGCACATGCTAGCTCTCCCCTGGCCTGCTCACCCTGGCTCTGCCACCTCTCCTGCATCCAGCTGGGGTACTTGGGACCTGGGGTTTACATTCCAGAGTGGCAGCATCAGCATGGGGGAGTGGGAGTGGGGGAGGTAGAAAGGGTAGGGCCTTCCAGGTGTCCAGTCGCATTGCACACAGATGCGCAGCTCAGCAACGGAGCTTTGTGGGAGCCTGGGAAAGGTTTACAACCAACGCACTGACCACCAACTTGGTGCAAAAGTTTCCCTTGTGTTAGGCAGTCACAAAATACCATCAGTATTTTTTGTGTGACCTGTTTAATTTTTTATGTCACATATTTTGTACTACCCATTTAACTATTCAACACATTTTGGTATACCAGCTTACTTTTCTTTTCAACAAATACATATTTATGAAGGAAATCCTACATTACTACTAAAAAATCGAAAAATCAGAATCACTTGCAGGAAATAGAAGGAAATGTCAAATGATAAATACTTAGCTTTTAACTAGATAACTTTTGCTTCCTAAAGGTTCTCAGCCCAAAGCTGGCTTTGGTTTTGTTAAACAGGGTAATGGCAAGCGTAGAGTGTATTGAAGAGGCCATCATGTTCAACCGAGATTTTCTCCTTGACTGATCAGAAGATTGAAAAATAGTAAAAGGAACTACTTTTCTCACCAAGTGACTCAATATTGTGTAACAGTCTCCGTGCATTGTCTAAAAGCATCTCATGAAACACTGGTCCTTTATGAAGCCTAAGCATCTTTTAGCTTCAGCCCAGATGTCATTACCTCTTCCAGAGGTCATTGTTGACCAATCTGGCCTCTTTCTTCTCATTGTTAGATCTCTTTTGGCTCTTAGCATCTCCTGCTGCAATGACCAGTTACCTTTCCTTCATCCCATGTGTGTTGGGAACCTGGACCAGACACAATGCTTGGCACGGGGGCCAGCACAAGATGAGCAAGGACAGGTGTAAGAAGCTCTACTGTTGGAAGACACAGTTGGGGGAGCACATAGGTAGAGTGTGGAAACCCGGACCAGAGCAAAGGCTTCAGGGAAAAAGGGAGCACACACTTGGGTCTCCAGAGTTGAGCAGGAGTTTTTTGGGTAGAATAGATGGAGAGGAACATTTCACTTGGAGGGAACTGGAGGCACTGAGCATTAGCTGAGGCATGAAGGGCATTTGGGAGCATTGCATGATTTGGTTAGGAGGTCTGGGGAGTGGCAGAAGATGGGGCCAGAATGGAAAGATCAGGAAAGGCCTTGAGTGCCAAGGATGTGGACCTTGTCTTGGGAAGGGAAGTCAGTGGATTGACGTGGTCAGACATGGGTTGGAAAGACCACTGTGGCTTCTGTGTGGAGGAGGATTCGGGGGGACCAAGAGAGGCAGGGAGAGCAGCTTGGAGCTGATGGCAAAGGTCCAGGTGAGGCAGAGAGACTCTGGGGGTTGAATGGCCAGAGGCAGCCTAACATTTTTGGAGCTTTTCCCATGAGTCTCTTACTAGGAGGTGGGCGGACTATAAATGTCTTCATTTTACAGAGGAGAGAACAGAGGCGCAGAATAGTTTAGTAAATTAGAGTCACCTAGCTAGTGAGTGGGGAGTGGGGACTGAGCCTGGGGCAGAGTCCACCGCCTTCTTTTCCACTCTCTTCTGGCCCTGGTCACCAGAATACACTTGTGACTCTCTGCCAGGAGCAAGGGGCTTGTAAAATTCCAGGAGGGCAGACTAAGCCACACACCTCTCTCTCTTCCAGGGCTCAGTGTGGGTTAGGTACTAGGCCAAGGTCAGTACCCCCTGCTGAGCCCTGCCGAAGGACCAGTGCAGTCAACCCACTTGCCTTCCCGTTTGAAGGTCAGTGGGCATTAGCACCACTGTATTCAGGCGACTTTCTCCCTGAGGCCATCCTGTGACTTCTGCTTGCTGTTGCCGAGTGCTGGCGGGCACATTTGCCTTGTAACCATCTCAGTCTTTCTTCCGTGCCACTTGCCTCCTCCATCAGGCTGGGGGATCTGAGTGCAAGAACTGAGCTCTGCATTGCACTGGAGCTTCACAAGGCAGGGGCTGGGCTTCCTGTCCGTGCTGGCAGCTCTCCGTGGGCAGCGGCTGCATCTCCCCCTTCCTCTACAATAACCCCTCAGTGCTCCAGCTCCAGCTCACCCCCAGAGGGCACAGGGCGGGAGCAGCAAGGGGTGTGGATGGTGATGATGACCAGTGAGGGAGGTGACTCCCCTCCTGGGAGTTTCCATCCCAGAAGGGCTAAGTCTCAGACCTGCTATTGGGCCAGCCAGAGACCGAAATCCCGGATCTAGGTCACCCCCTTAGCAGCTGAGCTGATTTATGTGCCCCTGACAGCATAATATCATTAAATTACCCCACACAATGAAGAGAGGCTGGGCCCCCTCCAGGCAGTCACCAGAGGACGCTGAGCCTGGGGCCTCCCTGCCGCCTCCCGTGTCCCAGACCTCTCGTGAGTCTGTGGGGGAAGGCGGGGGCGGACAGACACACCCAGGTACGCCACCTTCAGACGGGGGTATAAGTAGGCAGCTGGGAACAGCTCTCTACCCTGAACTCCACAGCCAACAGCCCTCATACGGAGGTTTCCTATCCTACGAGCTGTGGGCAGTGCCATGAGTGGCAGACAGTCCTCATCATCTTTGTGGCACCAGAGCAGCAGCTGCGGGGGTGGCAGGGGCATGAGGTCCTCATTCAGCCGCTTCAGCTCCTCAGGGGCTGGTGGAGGAGGGGGCCACTTCAGCTCGTCTAGTGGCTATGGTGGGGGAGCCCTGGGGCCTGTGGGAAGGGAGGAGGCAGTAGTTTGGGCTTCAGCTATGGCGGAGGGCATGAGGGTGGCTTTGGTGCAGGTTCCCTGGGCTCCAGCTGCAATGCCGGAGGAGGCTTTGGGGGGCCTGGGGACTTTGGGGGGGCCTTTGGTGGTGATGCTGGAGGCGGCGGTGGTGGCATTCTGATGACGGATGAGAAGACCATCATGCAGAGCCTCAATTCCCGGCTGGCTTCCTACTTGGCGAAGGTGCAGGTCCTGGAGGAGGCCAATATCAGCCTGGAGAGTAAGATCCAGGAGTGGTATGACAGGCAGGGGCCCAGGACCTTCCGCCAGGATTACTTCTCTTATTACGACGACGCTACTGAGTATCTCAAGGAACAGGTGGGTGGGCAAACTCCGATCTCGGTCTCTGTCTCTGTCTCTCTCCCTTTTACACACACACATACTTACATGCTTTATGCCAAAAAGATAAGATGCTACACACTTAGCTTAGACAACAGCCAGGGAATCCATCTTTTAGAAACTTTAAACTTTCATTAGAAACAAAGTTGGGTTTGGTTCCTGATGGCCCCAGGGCTGGGATCTTGGCCTGTGCTCTGGACTTTCATCTCCATGTCCCCGACATTTGGAGTCCAGGCAGAGCAGGGAAAAGGCCCGGATTCACACAGGTGATTCTGGGACTGGATGTGGGAGCCTCCTGTGGCCTGGTCCCCAGTTGGGAACACAGAGCAGGGCGGTGGGTGCACAGTGATGGGGGCACTACCCTGAGAGCCAGCAGCCTGGCCCTGGGTCTGCTTGCTATGCAGCCTTGGGAGACCCGATGCCCTCTGATGCCTTATCCATTTCATGCAGACAATAGGCAGACCAGTTTTTAAGTCCCTGCTGGTTTGAAACTTCTATAATCTTATGGGGAAAAAAAAGGAGGTAAGAGGGCAGTTGCCAAAACCAGCTGGGTCATATGGCTCAAGAGAGGGGAGCGTCTGTGCCTGTCTCTCCTCTCACTCTCTAAGAGTTCAGAGATTTCTAGTTTGGAAAACTTGGAAATCCTATCCATCCCTTCCTACTTCTCTGGGTCCCTATAGGGGTCTGTCTTGATCTTTCATTTTGTTGAATCCGGATACACATGCTAGCTGTTCAAGTGATGGAGAGGACCTAGAACTCTCGGGATGGAAGTAATGTACCTACTCATCCATCCATCCATCCATCCATCCATCCATCCATGCAGATGTCCATCTACTAATTTATCCATATGTCCATCCACTCAATTTTGTGAATGACTCCTCTCAGTGTAGTGCTGGGCAGACACAGTGATGAACCATACTTGGTCTCTGTCCTTGAGGAACTAACTCAGTGTACTAAGTCTAACTAACTCAGTGTTCCCACCTCATCTCTCTGCCTTTACACCTTCTGGTGAACAGCCTCTGGGTATCCTGTTTCTTCTATCGCAAACCTCTTCTACTTATTTTTTTCATGTGCAGTCTTAGCTTTTCTTAAGGGACCAATCAATTGCCTGAAGTCTTGGCAATTCTTGGCAATTGCCTCCTTCGTGAAGTCTTTCTTGATTTCCCATAGCCATAAGTCACCTCTCCTTTCCTTGAACTTTCCCTGGATACTTTGGATATTGTAGTCAACTGTGGGCTCCTTGAGGAGCAGTATCTCATTGATCTATAAACTCTACAGTGTCATTTGTAGTAGATCTTCAAATATTTGTTGCATGAATGCATAAATGAAGGCCACACGGAACATCTTTGCTGAAAACTGTGAGGGGTCTGTGCTGTGAACCAGCTGATGAAAGCGCCTTCTATCTCTTAAGTATCTTCTTGTATGAGTCCTCATCTCCTGTGGCTTTGCCTGGCCTCTTGTGCTCCCAGCAGAGGATCACAATGGGGGAGCATGGGTTAGATGCCATATCCTCCATTTATTTTTAGATTGTGAACTTCACAGTGGACAACAGTAAGATATTCTTGAATCTTGACAATGCTCGCATGGCACTGGATGACTCCAGGATGAAGTGAGTCCTGCTCCCACCCCCTCTCCTGTCATATGTCCTTCCTCCTCCCCCTAGTGCTCTGGAGGTCCTCTAGGGACTGGTGCCCTATTGCTTATTCCCTACCCATGGCTGGTCTGCAGGTTTGAGATGGAGCAGAGCCAGCGACAAGCAGTGGATGCAGACACCAATGGCTTGCGAAGGGTGCTGGATGAACTGACCATGCAAAACTCTGACCTGAAGATGCAGTATGAAACACTGCAGGAGGAACTGATAACTCTCAAGAAGAATCATGAGGATGTATGGTCCTGGCTACTTACAACTTATTGGGGATATGGAGTAACAGAAATTCAGAGATAGCGAGGGTGGGGGGAACAGGAGGAGGTTGGAGGTGTGGCTGTGGAGCATGGCCTGGGAGCCACCCTTTCTCTTACTCTTTAGGACACTCTCAGCAGTCCTTAGCACTGCATATGGTGGTGGCTGGGCTTTGGATTCACAACTGTGCCTTCTTTTTGTACCATGAGGGGAGTAGAGAGAGAGGGCTAAAAAGTAGTGGAGAGGATCCCACCTCCCTGACTTCATATCCATTCTTCTCTGGCAGGAGATGAGCCAGTTGACTGGGCAGAACTATGGGGACGTCAGTGTGGAGATGAATGCTACTCCTGGCAAAGATCTCACCAAGATCCTTAATGACATGCGCCAGGAGTATGAACAGCTCAGTGCTAAGAACCATAAGGACATTGAGCAGCAATATGAGACTCAGGTGAGCGGAGTGGGCTGCCCATTTAACCTTCTTTCCCCCCATTCTTGGAGCCCTCCATTCCTTCACCCCACCCCTCTATTCTCCCACCTCTCCATTTCAGTCCAGCTGTCATTCATCATCCTCTAATTCACTCATACCTACAAACATAATTATTGAGTGGCTTCTCAGTGACAGGTTCTATGTGAAGTCATGATGTCTCAGAGATGAGCCAAAATAGGTGACTTCCCTTGAGAATCTCAGTTTATTACATGTCTGGACGAAGGCAGAGCATCAACAGTTTACATAAAGCTCTGTGCTACCTAGACTCTAGCAGAGGTACACAGTCTGCTTCTTACTACACCGAGCTCCTTGATGATTCTCTTTCTCCTGGATCTCCAGCTCCTAGTATAGAGCCTGGTACAAGAGGACATGGTTCTGTGGTGTGTGTGTGTGTTTAGGAGGCAGTTTTAAGTAAGGTCGAAAAGGTGGTTTAGGGGCAAACTGTGAAGACTATTGAAGTCTTGCTGTCTCAGAAATGTTAAGTTGAGAAGACTGGACTGGAGAGACCCAGAACTTGGGGTTCTCAGCTTTGGTTCAGTCTTGGCCCTGGAGGTAAAGGTCCTGGTAAGTGGGGCAGAACCTTGCTCACAGCAACCTCTGGCCCAGCCTGTCCTCACTGAGCTTCTGGGTTTGCAGATGAACCAGTTTGAGCAGGAGGTGATGATTAGTGGCCGGGAGATGGAGTCCAACAACAAAGAGGTGATCCAGTTCAGGCACAAAGTCCAGGAGTTGGAGGTTGAGCTTCAGTCTCAGCTCAGCAAGGTTGGTAGTCTTGCTTTAGACCCTTTGCCAAGGTGGGACACACGAGGTTTTCCAGGATCCTCAGGTGAGGAAGGCGAGGGGATATGATGTAGTATTCCTCTTAGAGTCTCTTCCTGCCCCCTAGAAATCCGCCCTGGAGAAGTCCTTGGAAGATACCAAGAACAGCTACTGTGGCCAGCTGCAGCAGATCCAGGGGCAGATCGGTAGCCTAGAGGCCCAGGTCATTGAGATCCGGGCAGAGATCGAGTGCCAGAATCAAGAATACAGCCTTCTTCTTAGCATCAAGACACGGCTGGAGCAGGAAATTAAGACCTACCGCAATCTCCTTGAGGGTGGCCAAGATGACCTGTAGGTGTCCCAGGACTCTCTGGAATCCTAAATTCCTAGGACCTTGACACTCCCTCATTACCTCTGGATAGAGGCAGCTGGGACAGTTCTTGTACACAAGAGTCTCGTGGGTCGAGGACTTTTCCATCCTGTGGGGGAACCTCAGCATGTTTGGGTTTTGGAAAAGGAGGACAGTAACAGTGAAAGAAGGGACAACTCCCTGCTTTGGGGAGAGGAAGGCTTTCTCCTCCCAGCTGTGGTGCCAGCCCAGGCCTGTCCTCTGCCTTATGGGAAGGAAAACTTAGGAAAGACTGACATTTGGGTTTTGACTATGATCAGGTCCATCCTTGTGTATGTATGTGGGGTTCTTCATTTTATGTCTGCTTTCTTTCCTTCTCAGGGAATCTCATGGAACTGGACAAATTGGCTTTGGAGGATCTCATGGTGGAAGTAGGAGCAGTCATGGAAGAGGATCTAGGGGAGGAAGTGGAGGAAGCTACAGAGGAGGAAGTGGTGGTGGCTATGGTGGAGGAAGTGGATCCAGGGGAGGAAGTGAAGGCAGCTATGGTGGAGGAAGTAGTTCTGGAGGAGGAAGTGGAGGCAGCTATGGTGGAGAAAGTAGATCCAGGGGAGGAAGTGGAGGCAGCTATGGTGGAGGAAGTAGTTCTGGAGGAGGAAGTGGAGATGGCTATGGTGGAGGGAGTGGATCCAGGGGAGGAAGTGAAGGCAGTTATGGTGAAGGAAGTGGAGGTGGTTATGGTGGAGAAAGTGGATCCAGGGGAGGAAGTGAAGGTGGTTATGGTGGAGGAAGTGGATCCAGGGGAGGAAGTGGAGGCAGCTATGGTGGAGGAAGTAGCTCTGGAGGAGGAAGTGGTGGCAACTGTAAAGAAGGGAGTGGATCTGGAAGAGGAAGTGGATCCAAGGGAGGAAGTGGTGTCATCTATGGAGGAGGAAGTTCAAGGTTATCCCAGTCCCAGTCCGCTTCCTCAAGCTCTGGGGAGCATGACAATACACAAGGTAAGGGACAACTCTAGGTTGTTGGGGGGTACCACCCCTTTTTAGTGTCTTTGAATCTCTCTAAGGAATACATATTTTGAACAGAACTAGATTTAGGGAGGTCTCTAGTGAGGTGCCATAGACTTGCCTTTGTTTCTGAATTGGTCATTTTTGACAGAGCCTTGGGTGAGGCTAGGACTAGATCTCCAAATGGCCTGAGACTCAGTGGCATAAGAGATGGGTTTGAAACTGCATTATCTTATATATTTCCCACCATGCCTGATGAGGTGGGTATTGTTATTATCGCTATTTTCAAGATAAGGAAAACAAAGTTCAGAGAAGATAAGTAATTTACTCAAGGTTATACAACCAATAAATGAAAGACTCAGCTCTGTGGGTCTCCACAGACAGTACTTGAAATCATCATGAGGATGGGGAGACTGGATCAGTAACAATTTAGGTAGAAAAAGTTGCAGGCATTATAGTCAGTGGTTGGCTCATATAAGCCTGTTCCATGATACCACTACCCAAACGGACACACACTGAATATAATAATCTAAGTGTGAGAAAGAGTCACACAGATGAAGTGGTCTCTGAGTCAGAGAAAACTTCCTTCTGTGCATGTTGAATTATATAATAAAAATGTAATATGAAATTGTAGTAAAAGGCTGGGTGCTGTGACTGAGAATGTTTAGCTCAGAGAAGGCTTGAGGTGCCTTTGAGCTATCCTCCTCTAGGGTGTCTGGTGTGGTTTTGTGTGTCAAATGGCACACAGGGGCAGAGGCAGGGGTTATCTTGGCCTCAATATCCAAGGAATTTACTAACATAACAGTTGAATAGAGGAGGGGACTGCCTCATGGGCCCCATCCTCAGAAAAGGGAGAGGATCTGAGACAGGAGGGCTTCAAGAATTGGAGAGGTCCAATAGGACCCCACGGTCCTTCCACCTCAGGATTCTCCAGGTCTTTGGACTCCAGTTCTTCTGGCTCCCAGTTTGCCAATCTCTCTCCGAGTCCCAGTCTGTTTCCTGCTCTAAGTCCTTTATTTTCACTCTCACCTGCCTTCTGTCTCTTCACAGGCTACCCAACTCGATATTAGAGCCCCTGTGAACTTCCCAGGCTCTGCCCCAGGAGAGTGTCCTCCATACAGAAGGACCTTGGATGAAGCTTGCTCACTACATTCTGATATCGGGCATAGCTGGCAACAAGTTCTGGGGCCAATTTGGGCTGACTGGGCATGTGTGTTTCTGGTTACCAATTGGCTCCTTCTCCTGGGAGGGTTGGGGAGACCTCTGTTTCTCTGGTCTTGGGGGGTGACCCTATTCCCTGCCTGATCCCAACTTCCTAATAAAGCTTTCCTAGTGCAAATCAAACTTGGTCTTTGACCCATTTGTTCTTTGGAATTAAGAAGGGGCAGAAAGAAGGTGAAGGGAGAATCAATTGAGTCCACTTTAGAAAGTGTTGGTAGCTTTTTTATCACTTAACTTTTGCTTATAACAAAGCAACCCACAATTTAGTGGCTTAAAATAACAACCATTTATTTAGCTCATAATTTTGCAATTGTAGTTTAGACTGGGCAATTGACACCACTACCCAAATGGACACACACTGAATGTAATAATCTAAGTGTGAGCAGTTCTGTTTTCTTTTATGTATCTGTGGTCAGCTGTAAATCAGCTAGGTAGCTCTGCCTCTGGGGCTGGATTGAATGCTGGTTGTGGGTGAAGTGGGGTGAATGAGCCGCATGACTCTCATTCTCCAGCTGGCTAACTCAAGCAAGGGTCCCAAGATAATGAGCAGAAGCATGTAAGGCCTCTTGAGGGTTAGACTCAGAGTAGTCACAGCAGTTTCACTGTGTTGTCAAAAGTAAGTCACAACCTTGGCTGAATTCAAGAGCAGATGAAATAGACTCCTCTTGATGAGGGAGCTGCAAAGTTACATGGGAAGGGCATGGATACTGGGAAGGTGATGATTAGGCCAGTTATTGCAAACAACCTGCCATAGTCTATTAGTAGGTCATGTGTTAGCTATAGTTATTACCTAGACTTGGAAGTCACACAGTGTCATTTCTGCTGTAGTCACAGGCTTACATAGACTCAGAAGGAGAGAAGAAGCATAGACCTTGCAATAGACAGAATTCTAAGATGATACCAGTTATTCAATCAATAACTGGGCAAACAGTTATAGGTGTTGTTATAAAGGGTTTTGGAGAAGCAATTAAAGTTCTTTAATGTGTTAGCATTAAGATAGGGAAATTAACTGGTGGGCCCGACATAGTCACATGAACTCTTTAAAAGCAGAGAGTTTTCTCTGGCTGATTAGAGAAGAGTAGGTCAGAGATTTGAAGCATGAGAAGATTTTAATATGTCATGGCTGGCTTGACAATGGAACATGGGTGGCCTCTAGGAGTGAGAGCCATCAAGGAAAAGGGGATTTCTGTCACCCAGCTGCAAGGAACTGACTTTTTCCCAGAAAAAGTTTGGAAGCAGATTTCCCCCCAGAGTCTTGATGAGAACTTACCTTGGCCAACACCTTGATTTCAGCCTTGTGATACCCTGCATAGTGGACCCAGTCACACCTGCAGAACTGTGAGCTAACAAATGGGTGCTGTTTTAAGCTGTTATGTTTGCAGGGATTTTTTGAGCAGAAATAAAAAACAGATACAGACCCCATCTCAAGGTGGAGGAGTGTCAATGTCATATTGAAGATGTGGAATGGGTAAACATTTTGGAAAACACAATTTAACACAGATTGGCCCAATCACTGGGGAGGGGTATGTAAAGGCAAACTTAGAACACTAAGTGACACAGAAGTCCAGGAAAACTCATGATCCTGAGATTCATAGAAATAAATGCTGGATGGTGTCTCTGGGCCCAAGATGTCTCTAGCAAGATGCCTGAGCAGCCAGGCTGTGATCCTTCTCTAGTGCCCAGTCCTTAATGTGCAATTGTTTACTTCTCTGATTCTCTTTCTGCTACCAGTTGTTTTCCTCTTCTGCCACTTTATATACTCTCTCTACCTCTATTTGGGGAGTTCTCCATCTTCAGTCTGAGGCTCCCCAGGATAGAAGCCAGAAACTTGCTTTCCCAGTGTCCCATGTGAGGAGGACATGTCACATGACATAGCTCTACCAATCAGATATACCCAATAAGACTTTGATTTGGATGTGAAGGAAGTGCTGAATGGAATCTAATACTGTAGGGACAGGGCTGCGGCAGAGACAGCTTATTGAGGCCGCAGTAGTGGTGGTGCTGCAAGGATAGGCAGTGCCTAACAATGGTTTGGGCTGCAGTGTTTGTAGCTGGCAGTAACAGTAGTGGTGTTTTCCTGGAGCAATCTTTTAGTGTGATTTGGACAATGTTCCTGTTTGCATATCCCCAGGTGTGATCCTCTGCACATCCTGGAAAAGATGTACTGCTTTCTCTGTAGTGAAAATCAACATATTCTGGTATTCTTTGCTTGCTGGAATAGAGAAAAAAGAAATTTCCCCATCAGGCACCAGGTACTATGGTGATCTATTCTAGAAAGTAGACTAAATCTGGATCAATGATTGCTACTGGAATAACCATGTGATACCCTGAAAAAGAATCATTCCTTAACATCTGTACCTATTCTGCACAGGGAAAATGGCAAGTTAATGGGAAGCAATTGGAGTCATCAACCTTGAATTTATCAAACCTTTTATGTGGCACTAATCTCTGTCTTTTCCTTAGTGTGTTGGCTCTTCTTGCCACAATAGTCCTTACTCTGTTCATCAAGGAGCCATTTACTGACTATATCTATTCCATTTCAGACCCTGGGAAAGAAACCACAGGCTGGGTCCTTTGGGTTGCTATTGGGTTTCAAAAGGCTGATTTGGGTCAAAACTCCATTTACCATCTGATCCTCTATATTGGTCAGATTCTCAGCTGCAACCAACAAAAGCTACTCTGGCTATTTTATTAAGTAAGGAATCTATGAAAGTTCTAGATACTTCAAAGAATCATTAGTGGGGCCAGAGAAACAGAATCTAGGCTGCATTTCTAACATCTCCCAGGATGACATAGCAAAATAGAGCTACTGCTTCTGTCAAGACTAGGAAGCTTCTAAGTTAGGATGTAGCCTGCTGAATCAACCCCTCAAGAGTTTGGGCTTCAGAACCATGCTGTCTCTTTCATCCATGCCAGTAAACTAGATGGCTCAAGTGGAGACCATTCCCTCACACCTCCCTTCTAAATTAAGCCTCAGATGATGCAGAACCTAAATCACACAGCTTATCTTACTGGCAAAGTAAGATGGAATATGTAGTTTTTAGATCTACCACTGGAAAAGAATAGTGATTGAAATAACAGGTATAACACACATCTACATAAGCTTCTAGTCTAACCAGTGAACCACAGTATTGTTCTGCATTTTCTGAGGTTACATATAATTTGGAGCCACTGTCCGATAATTCCTGAAGGTCTGGGCATTTCCCTTCCCCTAGGACACAGCTACTCTTGTAAATGCCCATAGGTTCTCTGGGGAAGGCTTGGAGGTAGACGTACAGAACACTCTTGCAGAGTCCTTCTTCAAGGGTTTCTGGTCCTCCCTTTATTCAAAGTTCTCTGGGTTGATGAGCTGATTCTGGTTTTGGACCTGGATAAAGAGCCTGTCATTCTCTGTCATGAGGCTTAAGACAGGCCTCTTTTGACCAGGGGTGGGGTAGGGAACTGTGGCAGATATGGATGACTGACTAGCTCACATGAGTTCCCATACCCTTCTAGTGTGCTTTCCTGTAATCTAGAGGCTGATAATCTTTAAGCCTACCATTCCCAGACTCCCTTACAGCTATGGATCTAGGGGCTATTTATGTTTTTCCAATCAGGGTACTTCCGTGGAGCATGAATCGAATGAGGAGAGGTCTGAAGGAGGGAAATGTCTTCTGTTGGTATAGATCTACCAGGTACTGTATGGTCCTGGGACCAACAGACGGTGTCCTGATTCTCAGGCTTTCTGGTTCTGACAGACCAGGAATTCCTTTGGGCCCTGGTTCTGTGGTGTTAATCTGGGAGCCATTCCCAGAGGCCCAATTGAAAGTCTGCATCTCCAGTCCACTAATGATTTTGTAAGCAGCGAATGCACTGCATTAAACTCCTTTCTGTTAAAAAATTGAGATTTGTTTCTGTTACTTAAAACCGAACCTTCATTGAATCAGGATCTTGGTGAGCTGCTCATATATTTTGGTCTTAGAGACCCATGGTCATGGATCCCTACCATGGATCCCTACAGATCTTAACATTCTGCTTACTATCCCAGCCCTCCATTACTGAAGTGTCCCTACTTGTCCTCTGCCTGGGATCCCAGCTCTACTGAAAACAGGGAGCCTAATTCATTTGTACTATCTCCCACACACATCCCCAGAGAACAACTGCTACCATGCTTTTCAAAGACACTGTGCTGGTTGTTTCTTACCTGCTAGGGTCCAGACAGCATCTTCTGGGCTTTAATAGTCGGGGAATGATGAACAGGTTCCACCTGATAACCCCACTCCAACATTCCTGTTTCCCTAGCTGGTTGCATTCCTTCCTCTCTATTCTTCTTGCTTTATTATTATTCCTTCCTTCATTACAACAAGGATTTTCTGGAAACTCAATTTTATTTTGTATTGGCCACTACTGAGTTCAGTTTCTATCTCCCAACTGAGCAAATGTTTAGACCCACTCCCAGATACTTAATGTAGCTGCTGAACTACAAATCTCTGGGGAATGCCTCCGTACTGATTACTTCAGCCTGATCAAAAATTAGAGTCCATTCCCCAACCCAGTCTTCACATTTCTGCCAATGTAGATTAGCAACATCTTGAAATTCTGGTGGGTTGGCCTTCTTTTTATTAATTAATTAATTAATTAATTAATTAATTAATTTTTTTGAGGAGGCATCTCTCATATTTATTGATCAAATGGTTGTTAACAACAATAAAATTCAGTATAGGGGGGGTCAATGCTCAATGTACAATCATTAATCCATCTCAAGCCTAACTCTCGTCAGTCTCCAATCTTCTGAAGCATAATGAACAAGTTCTTACATGGTGAACGAATTCTTACATAGTGAATGAATTCTTACATGGTGAACAGTACAAGGGCATTCATCACAGAAACTTTTGGTTTTGATCACGCATTATGAACTATAAACAAT